ATCTCCTCCGCGTCACCCTAGCGCCATTTAAAACAGCGTATGTTGTTTTGTATCAGCCGCACCACACGGATACGTTGTTTTCGTTCAAATCTAAGCACAAACAACGTAGAAAACGTATTCGTGTGACGCAGCTGACACAAAACAATATACGCTGTTTGCGTTGAGTGGATATTCTCCAAAATGGCACTAGGGTGACGTGGAGGAGACGAATTGTTGAATAAAGTCGGGGTTTTTTTTCTTTTGCGCACAAAAAGTATTCTCGTAGCTTCGTAATATTACGGTTGAACCCCTGATGTCACATGGATTATTTTACTGATCTCCTTGCTACGTTTCTGGACGTTGATCGTGGTAGTACCCTTGCTGTCTATGGGAGGGTCAGAGAGCTGTCAGAATACATCAAAAATATCTTAATTTGTGTTCCGAAGATGAACAGAGGTCTTACGGGTTTAGAACGACATGAGGGTGAGTAATTAATGACAGAATTTTTGGGTGAACTAACCCTTTAAGTACATCTTCTATACTTCTATTGTCTTTGAAATATGGTTAAAGTGTATTGCCGAATGTACTGACAAGCATTTATTAACTTTAAATGGAATTTCGAATAACACACTACAGATAAAATTAAAATCCAGTACTTTACCTGTGCTTTGGTATGTTAATCAACACATCAAAATAAGTGTACTTTTAATTTGACATTGTTACAAAGTGCACTTTTTAAAGTGTGTTAAGAAACAGTCATGAAAGTATCTCTTTAAGTACACTTAAATGTACATCTTTAAGTACATTTTTAATTAATCTTATATTATTCGCAAGTACAGTTTTTTGAAAAAACACTTTTAAGATTTGAAGTACAAGTGTTCATTCAATACAATCAAGTTCAAAGGTGTTAACAGGCATTTTATGCATCACTTGCTACATCAAATGTGTTGCTGGTTATGATAAGCAGAAAAAAAATTAAAAAGGAAAATCACATTTCTGCTTTACACAATTTGCTATCCTCTTGAAACTTTTCAAACTCATTCAATGAAATTATAGGGCCTCCAGCTTTACCTATAGTGCAAACCTACCTCACTATATCAACTGTGCTGTTATCTATGAGATTAAAAAAATCCTGTCCCACCATAAATCAAATTGCCATCAGGTTAGTAGGCCTGCAAACGGTGTCCTCTCTCTGCATGGTTCTCATTCCTCATTCGGCAGTGGTGTCTGGTATCTGTGTCTGTCGTAAGAGTGTGTAACCAACATTAAGAAATCTGTAGACTAGCGAGCGGGTAATTTCTAATGGGCTCAGACATCCACACTGGATAACCTGTTACACAGGCACACATAACACTAGCAGGTGCTCTTTTATCGTGCTGTGCCAGCTGTGTACGACCGTGTTTCCTGACCTTTTTTGTCTCATTTAGCACCACACCTCATCAATAAGACTGCAAGACAATAAAATGTGTGTAACTTGCGTTATACTACGCATCTTTTAGCATGATTTTTATATATATTATGCATTATATATAAGCCGTCTGTCTGAGGTTAGCATATTTTTTCAATTGTTTTCAATGAGAGCGCCATGCTTTTAAAAAACGGTAGCAGCTTGACAAGGTGGTGAGTGTCTATATCACGCTGAGTGCTATGCACATGTTTTTTTTTTTTTCTGGTCACTGAGAGTTGGAAAATGTTCAACTTTGGGTAAAATGCAGCGCTCATCAATATCACTTTTTACCCAGCCGTCCAATCACAGTGGATGAGGGCGGGATAAATATCACCAACCTTCACATTCTACTTGTACAATGACTGTAAATATTGCTGATCTCTGAGTATCCATGTCTGTACCAGATGACATATCTGGACTGCAATGATATTAATATAAAAAATACTGCTTGGAGGAACATTTCATTTACCATGTCTCTAGCTAAACGCTGCACCTCCAAAGCGGGCTCAAGTGTCCACAGCTGGCTGTTTTCAAAAGAGCTCCTGCCATTTTCAGCTGGCTTAAAATGCTTTGGTGGACACGTGGCCTTACAGTCACTTTTATAAAATAAAAACACTTGACACTGGTTGAAAAAATTGACTTTGTTTTCTTTTAACAGGAACTGGAAAAATTATGCAAAAATCATATTTTTATATGCATGTCTGTGTTTCTGCAACAGTGTTGTTTTAGTATTATTTATATACTATTATAGTTTTTATTCATATTTTGAATTAGCTTTTATTTTTATATTTTCAATTTTCATTAGAATTTTAGTTTAATTCTTTTGTGTTTTTTAAATATTACTACTTGGGTATAATTCAATTTATTTCAGTTTTTAGTTTTTATTTATTTCTAGTAATTTTACAGCTTCAACTCAAACAAAAGTTGGTTGCCATGAAAACATTACAAATTTTTGTAGTTAAGAACAAAATTGCTTTTTAGAGAAAAGAAGTTAGTTGGTAGTTAGATAATACAGTCAACCAGAATGATGTCACATGCATCAGGCAGTTACAGGAATGCACGATTACCCATTCCCTTTGACCTTTAATTTCCAACCTAATAATAATAAAATCAATAATTCGTAATATATAGTTTAAAATAGTGTAAACACTAAATAACTTTTGCAATTTGTAAGCATTATTATTGTTTTGTTAATATTTTTATGTATTTATTTTTTACTAAATATTTTACTTTAGAAAATAATTGATAAGTGGCCTTTGCATTTGTAATTATTTTGGAAGACCTTCCAGAAATTATTTTATTGTTTGTGTAGCATGATATCTTTCATCCGCTGCAATCTGTTACCTGAATTGTGCAATATTTGCACATCGTCATTGCATTTCATTTAATTGTTTGTATTAAGAAAGAGTGTCCCCAAAAGGTATTTGGACACTTAAGCCAACTTAAGCCCCCCATACCCCAACACGCTCCTCAGTGCAATGGTGTCCCATTAACACATCTGACTCCTGAAACGTGGCAGGAATGGCACTAGTGTCACACACGCAGATATTATTCCCATACTCATGCTGGCTGAGGGCTATCGCTTCCAATGAAGCACGTGAAGTACACCTGCAGTGTTTATCGAAACATCCATCAAACATCACTGACAGAGCCTGCAAGTCATGCTAGCTTTAGAGCATAAATATTTCTCACGTTTTTAATTAGAAATAAAGTCTTAGAGTTAACTGGCTGCATATACAATCTTGGTTGTTGATCATTCTGATCAATGCTGGTCCCTATTGGCTGTTATCAACATTTTTCAAAATATATTCTTTCGTGTTCAGCAGAGGAAAGAAATTCATACAGGTTTGGAACAGCTTGAGGGTGTACGATTACCCATTCCCTTTGACCTTTAATTTCCAACCTAATAATAATAATCATAATAATAAAACTGTAAAAATATGTTTTCACTTTTTTATAAATCAATCATTCGTAATATATAGTTTAAAATAGTGTAAACACTAAATAACTCTAATTTTGCAATTTGTAAGCATTATTATTGTTTTGTTAATATTTTTATGTATTTACTTTTTACTAAATATTTTATCTCTGTGGCAGAATTACAGCGCCACATGCTGGTCTGGCATGTATACTACATCGGTTTTGTGGTTTCGTGTGGACGCAGATATTTCTTGAGACGAGGGGAAAAAAAAGATCAGATAGGGAAAGCTCTGGCTTCGTGTGGACATAGCCTAAATTTCATTTTGGGGTGAACTATCCCTTTAACTCTCAATATATTTCATCACATGCTGCTATTTAACTATGGCATGTTGGGCCATGAACTCCACACAGTACCGTGAGACTGATCTTATGACCAGGGCCGCAGCTGTTGCAACTGTGTAAGACTAATACTGGAGGCACACACACACACACACACACACACACACACGTCTGGTCAGCTATCCTTGTGGGGACACTCCATAGGCGTAATGGTTTTTATACTGTAGAGAGCGTATATTCTATTGCCCTACACCAACCCTACACCCCTAAACCTACCCCTCACAGGAAATTTTCTGCATTTTTAGATTTAAAAAAAAACTTCATTATGTCTGATTTATTAGCTTGTTTACCCGTGGGGACCTCAATTTAGGTCCCCACCGTGACACGAGTCCCCACGAGTCTGTGTGTATTCAGGTTTAAGTCCCCACCAGAATAGAAAAACAGGTACACACACACACACACACAGAGTGCGACTCAACATTTCAGTGTCTACAGCAAATATGAGTGACATTGCTTGGAAGAACATTAAGACGCTTCATCTTTCAGCATTGAGAGTTTCTCGTGTAATGAACTTCTTAGCACAAATTAAATATACAGCATTTGGTATTTTATCACAAAAACAATGAAAGCACCAAAACCTAAATAAAAGTAACAAGTAATCCTCATCAGGTTTGGGCAAATCTTCCATTTACCAAGAGTTAAGTCAATCCTGCACGTATTTATCTGTACTAAAGTTTCCATATCAATCTAAGAGTCTTGTCATGTTGTTATTGTGAGCAAAGCTCCACACGGCAATGTCACCCAATGTAACCCAACACAAGTCATCTATTACTCACCTTTATTGAGTGTTTCCTTGTGCAGAATCAATTATTCCCTCAGTAATAAACTCTCTCTTTCTCCTCCTACATTCAGCAAGCTTATTCTCTGACTGACGCACACGGACCGAGACATTTGCAGTATTATTATGGTCTCTGTTAGGGGAGGCGGTCAGCAATCCAATTGGATAAAGCCAGTGGGATGCCCCAAATACAGAGGGTGGGAGAGCGGGGACGGGAGGTGAGGGGTCCTAGAGTAGCATCTCAGTTGCCATTCTTATACGGACACGAACAGTTTACTATCATAACACAGAAGAATATGACTGATGGTAAGTTCAAGTCGTGTCGGAAACATCGTATTTAAGAATTGAATGGACATTAACCGTTCACCACAAAGTCGTAATTAACTCACCCTTCCACAAATGAATAAATAAAGGTAAAAGTTTAAGTTTTAAATAAAGTTTCATATAAAATAAATTTGAACTGCAATAAAATAAAATGTAAAATAAATTAATTTCAGCTAGTTGCAACTTCGTGTACTAAAGAGCAACTTGATGAAGCCTACTAAAAACACAAAAATAAAACCTACTTGCATAATATAACCTAAATATGAATAAAAATCACAATAGTAGGCAATAGAGATAGTAGTATCTCAATTATAGTAAATGGGAGTTGTATTTTTAATCATTTTCATATTGACCAATTGTATTTGCTTTAATTTATTCCTTACATTTTCTTTAATTGCTCTTTGAGAGATCTTTTAAAAGTCTTACATTTACCTTCATAAAACTTGTAGAAACCCTGTCACGCAACACCTTCATAAAAGAAATAAAAACCTAAAAAAGCAAAACCGCACCTGATGCGCAGTCTTTATTCATCAGTATAAGTATCATTTGTAGAAGCAGAGTTTAAAAAAAATCTTTTTTTTTGTAGAAAAGGTACATCGCCAATCAGAGGCGTCATGCCCATTCAAAGTGAGGGAGCACGTGCCCCCTCAGATTTTTGAGCCAAGTGGATTTTGAATGCATCTTCCAAAAGACAAAAAAATAGCCGATTAATATTTTCTATATTTAATACAATCACAAAGGCGTGATTATAACGTTCAGTGCGTCATATCATCAGCTGCTAAATTCAAATCTGCGTTCGCTGGCTGGCGCTGAGCCTGATACAGACGCGTTTATACAGCACTGCGCATTAACCAATCACACACGATGCTGTTGAGCTTATGAATGCAATGACCAATCAGAGGCGTTCAGGTGAGTCATCGCTAAAATCCCGGTGTTTTCTTCACGCTCTCTTTGCTCTCTTTCTGTACAATGAAAGTGTTATGATTAGTAGCCTTACTTGCAATGTTAAATTCACATTAAATATAAACTCAGGCATATTAAAAACATGTTATGGCATGACACCCATATCTGTTAATCAAGTAAACAGACAGGTTTTTATGCATAGTTAATAGATAACATTATTAGGTTACTTTGACCATCACATAATCTATAAAGGTGAGAATCAAGATATTTCATGATATAGTTAATGCGTTTGGGCATGTTTCAAATAAAAAGGTAAAAAATAAATAAAACATAAGTGCTGTTGTGGCTGTGTGTCACATCATAGAAAATCATTATAAATAAAACACGTAATGTAGCTTAATGGACAAAGATATAAAAGAGCTGTAGACAGTTTATTCTACATGGAAAAACGCTTAACACGAAACTGTTATTCTGGGCTCACCTGCTTGCCTGTACATATTAGTTATATTAATAACGTAGAGGAGCATATTGAGTTTGGCCTTTTTAGTCCGTTTTTCTTGTCTTCACCACCTGGCTACTGTTGTAAAATGTTGAGAGATTCAAACAAAAAGTAATAAAAAATAGAACAAAATAAAAAATAAAGCCTGCAAGTGACGTCGCTAGCGGAAGCGCAAGTGTCTGAGAATGCAAGTCTGAGAGTGCAAGTGCGAGGCTGCAGCTAGACCCTTCTCGGCAGCCGGGGTGTTCACATTGTTGTAATGCCTGTATTAGTAGTAGGATAAGCAGCATAATGGGCAGGATAGGCATTCGAACGAGCTGGGGCAGCTTCCCTGGCACAAGGTGAAGTGTCCAGTTTATTAGCGAATGCACCTATCAGCAAAATAGACAGCCAAGAATCTAGAGCAGACAGCTGGGCGTAGATGTCATGTGACGCTTATTTACTAACAGACAGGCAAAGTGATCACATGACAAAGCAAAAGAGAGGGATTTTAAATTTTCTACAATATCTTAGGTTTTCGACATTGATTCATGAAATCCTGTTCAAGATAAGCAAACATTAGATCTGACATACTTCCTTTCCTTCTCATACAAGCTGTTATAAATATTTGAAAGAAAAAATCTGCCATCTCAAACAATGTGGTACTTCATCACAATTAAGTAAAAACAGAGGTGATCATATTAAATAATTTAAATAACTGAATCATCCCAAAGCTCTGTTTTGAGCAGATGTCACCATTTTTGTTGTACTCTTCTAACATGAAAACTGGCAGTTGATAAATAATAGATTATTATTAATTATTAGCTGTCCTCAGTTTCACTTTTCATCTTAGCCATTTTTAATATCCACTTAACTAAAGAAGCCTGATGCTTAATGACATTGTCCACCAGGAAGTGACATCATTTTCAGCAGGAAAACAACACAAACATCAGTAAGTATTAGCTTGTAAAATGTTGACGTTTGGTGTTATTTATTGGATTATGTAATTTTCAAAAACATCCTATGTGATATAATTACAAAAATTTGTATAATAATTTAACCAGTTTCAAGTGATTGCAAAACATCAAAATTAACTTAACTTTAGCTTAAAGGCACAATATGTAATTTTTGGCCGCTAGAGGGGCGCTTTGAAACATTTGGGATAATGAAAGTACACAAGTCAGCAAAATATTTAACACTGTTCTTGTGGTTTTTGGATATTTTAATAAAAAATCTTACTTATTGTGCCTTTAACTCAGGGGTGTCCTGCAGAGTTTAGCTCCAACCCTAATTAAACACACCTGAACCAGCTAATCAAGCTCTTACTAGGCATAGAAACTTCCAGTCAGGTGTGTTGAGGCAAGTTGGAGCTAAACTCTGCAGGACACCGGCCCTCCAGGACCGAGTTTGGACAGCCCTGCTTTAACTAATTAGCTAGCTTTAGCTCTTTATTTTCTGTTGATTTTCTTGTCATTGTGGTTACACATTGGTTAAAATGAGTGGCGTTAAGGTGTTTGAGCTTGACCACCCTTGTAAAAGAAATGCACTTTAGCACACTTTTAAAAAGAGCACTTATAATGTACTTAACTGTGAACTGAATGTAATGTTTCCAGACACTTACTTGCATGTTAAATGAAAATGTGTTATAATGAGGCAAAAAGAGGAACTGGTTTGATTTAAGTCTGAAAATGCCACCAAAGCAACTTCTGATCCGAATCCAACAGTATATAACACTGGATCCACTAAAGGGAGCTTATAAGAGACATGAAACTTGGGTAACCGCAGTTTTCAACTTCCAGTCTATAAAATAAGTTTGGACAATGTAAATGTAATGTAAAGGACAATGTACTACAGCACACACTTCTAACTGCAGTTCTCTAAGTAACCAGTTAGACATTATGCTGATAAAGAGCCTGTTATACACTAATGACACCTGTATCTACTCTAAATCTCATCTTCATTTACAAGCGCATTAAAACGACTAATAGTGCTTGACAAAAGTAATGTAAGGCAGGTTAAACAGCAACAAAATAACACCATGCTTCTGATCCTTTATATAGTAACTGAATGGACTGTTATCATGGCGAATAAATGACATGCAGTCCCTTGTGAAAAAAAGTACAATTTTGCATGCTTTTAAAAACAGTAATATACTTTAAAAAGAAAATGCTTAATTGTGAACTGAATGCAATGTTTTTGACACTTAATTGAATGAATATTTACAATTATACAAGTGCATTTTAGTTTAAATTTAGATTAACTGCAATTAGTTGAACACAGGAGTGCTTTTTGAATCTTTATTTAAGTATGACTTAAGTACAACTTTATATGTAATTTCATGATTAGTTCTATTGTCTTTGAAATATGGTTAAAGCGTACTGCCAAATGTACCGACAAGCGTTCATAGTAAACTAAAATATGCTTTAATATTATTTCTATTGAAATTTGTATGTCATGTATTTAAAAATATATGTAATTAAACATTTGTAATGATAAAGTGACTTATACTAGTACATTTAAAATATATTAACTTTTAATGTAATATCAAATAACACACTATAGTTCAGTTATAATCAAGTACTTTACATGTGCTTCAGTATATTAGTCAACACATCGAAATAAGTGTATACTTAAAGCACAACAAAAGATTATTAAAATATGATTTAAAATGTACTTAATAGTGTACTTAAATGTGTTAAGAAACATTGACATGAAAATGTCTTTCTTTAAGTGCTCTTAAACGGTCTTTTATTTAAAATCTGCAAGTATTGTTTTAAAAATACATTAAGATTTGAAACACACTACAAGTGCACATTCAATACAGTTAAGCACACTTCTTTTTCACGAGGGGTGTTATGTCAGAAAACCCACCTGCATCTGAAGAGGGTGTCCAGGTGACACGGAAGATCCCTCGCAGACACTCACACATGACAGAAGACAAGATACACGCTCACGCACACCGAACACGCATCCCACGCACCACTGATACGGGTCAGACCACGGGCCGGGTGCTGTGAGCAGATCACTTCCAGCGAACACGAAGGGGAGACCGTCTCTGAGTCGGGAAGAGAGGGCAAACCGATACAGGAGGGGGTCGGTCAATCGGAAGTAGATACAGAGGGTGCGAATTTGGGTTTCTTTGTTGGGGGGCATGTTGGTGTCAAAAGTGAACGAGAATGCGGTAGAGAAAAAAAGAGATGGATGGACAGAGGCTGACAACGAGGAGACAGGACAGAATGCTGCATTAGCTGGCGCTGAGAGTCAGCAGTTTGCGGCCCCCTGACTAAAGCTCCTGTCTTTTGTTCATCAGTGCCGTGGCTTCAGTCCCGGCCCAACAGGGCCTTGTTATCGGGCTTAGTGAGAAACAGCTATCAGGGCTTCTGTCAGACAGAGCTCAACAGCTCCCACAATATAATTAAAAGAAAAACACATTCCCTCACTCACAGTCACAAACAGGCCCGGACAGGCATCACTGGCAGCACACCTCTGCACTTCCTTCACTGCTACTGATTCTCAGATCGAAGAGGCAAGGGCCTACATCCATGAAAGAGGGGCTGTCAAAGGATATTTCCACATGATTGCGGTTAATTTAAAATGAATAGAACCAGTCCTGATTGGCCAAAACAGAATTCCAGTTATGCAATATACAAACAGCTTTGACACCAAAGACCAGCATTCGTTCACATGGCAGGGACTAAATCTAGAACTTTGACACACTGCATATGTAGAAATTGTTTTAAAAAAGGAAGTGTGTTCAGAGGGATATGCTGTATTATGTGCTGTTTATTTATGTTTATATAACTTGAGAAAAAGATGTAGGCTTTGTGTTAACCACTGCCTTCGAAACAAATCTCCAGCAGAAGAGTTGCGCCTCTGCGAGCAACACAATAAATCTTCGTTTTGAACCAATCGGCAGAGAGAATGATTCATTTACATTAAAGGGGTGGTGGATTGCGATTTCGCTTTTTTTAACGTTAGTTAGTGTGTAATGTTGCTGTTTGAGCATAAACAATATCTGCAAAGTTACGAAGCTGAAAGTTCAATGCAAACGGAGATATCATGCTCTGCATGTCTCTCTCTCTCATTCAGCTCAGCTCCAAAAATGAGTTACAATTATATACTTATTTTCACATAGCTATGAGAAACATTAAACATGGACGCGCGTGCATTTGCCGTACTGTATTAAAGCTTTAAGCAAGATAAAACCGTATATTAAAAGCTAACATAAGCAGTAGCATTTACAAATAAGTACGTAACTAAAAGTATGAGACAACAACAAACAAAAAACATAGGCCTACCATTAAAAGCCGTGCTTGCACAAGCTTCAATAATATCCTCTGCTTCTCAATCGGGCTCAAACTGATAAGAGATATTAATGACGCCGTTGTTTACAATATAACCGGATCACATGCCGCTGAGGTGAGGGGCGGGCCGTTTAGACGCGCACTAGAGGCGGTTTAGCCAATCACAACACACTGGGCTAGCTAACCAATCATAAAAGCAGGAAATGATCAGCGTGTTTCTCAGAGAAGGGACAGAACGGTGTGGAATAAAGGTAAATTATGTGAAAAATAATGCGTTTTTTTTTTT